TGGGGAAGGGGGAATGAGGGGGTCGGAGAGTTCTGGTTGTGTCACAATAAAATTTACCTAATTCTCCTTGAGGCTTTGTGATATTGTAATGATCAACAACAACAACAACAACTTAATTCACCCTTACTCTTGAGAAGGTTAAATTAACATCGAATAAGAATTAGAACTAAGAGGGTGCTGGCTTCCTAAAATAACTAGAAGGTTAATAATGCTAGGAAGCCAAATTACATAGAATGGATTACAATATTAGGGTCGGGACACACACACACACACACATATATACACACACACACAGAATTAAACTAAAAATAATTATGAATAAACGAAATTTACAAGTCATAGAAAAAATATTATTATTTATATATGTGTATATTAGAAATGAAATCCTGAGCAATTATAATAAAAGAAAAAAGCGTAGAGCAATGAGCAATGAGCTCTCTCATTGAGTGAAAGTCACTTTTCTATAGTCCTTCCTATAAACTCTGTGAGAGACAACTGATCCCCTCTGTTCCTCCTGTAAACAATGTGATCCTAAAAAATCCTCCGACCCTCGCCTCTCCCCTATTCACACCCTTTAGATGATAACTAGTGTCCAGTTCCTAATACCTAACTCTAGGGGAGTGGGCAGTGTATCACGATGAAGAAGTCCTGCACTCACACCGCTCTAGTGTTTGCGCGTGTGCCAAGTTGATCTGTTATCATGAACTATCGTTCTGCGAAGTTTTCCTTAAGACTCTCCCCCTACCTTCCACTGGGAATGTACAATGCTCATTGGTATGTCCTGTTAGTCTATTAGACTTAGAGAGATAAGTATATGCATTTAAGTCCAATTTACATCTCTTAACAACACAATTTTTGATACTATCACACTATCAACCTTTTTTTAACCAAATTTGGTTAACCAAAGTCTCCGATAAACAGAGAATAATCTAGTGGTTTTGTTAACCTACCATATTGGCCTCTTTGATGTTTCCAAAAGCGTCCACATATAAGTCAACAGAAACAGTTAAAGGTTTCCCTTCGTCTAAAAAAAAAAAAGCCAAAAAATTAAACTCAATAGGAACTTTTAATTATTAGGGGCCACTTAGA